AAGCTTAAACACCAACAGTAGGAACTTAATACAGATTTTGGTACTGGAATTGGGGTGCTGTTATAACAAATACTAAACCTGTAGAAGCTGCTTAAGAATTTGGCAATGGGAAAACGCTGAACTAATTTTGAGGAACAGGATTTTAAAAGTCTCCATTTCTTTGAACAGGCTGTTAGTAGAAAACTGAATATTAAAGGCATTGCTTGTGAGGGCTTAGAAGAAACTGAGGAGCATGGTACAGGAAACTTACATCATCTTACAGAAAACCTAAATTATCATAAACAGAATGTTGGTGAAAATATAGATTTTAAATGTGCTGCTGCTGAAAGCTCAGAAGGAAATTAGGGACATGTTATTTAAAACTAGGGGATAATGGACCCTTGTTACATAGCGGCAGGAAACAGCTGAATTGTGCCCTACAGTTATAAGTGGAAACAAAACATGTAAGCTGTGAACTTGTGTATTTACCAGATTTTCAGGCAAAGAGTTAAAGGTGGGCTTGGTTTCCTTTTGCTACCTATTGTAAAATGCGAAAGAAAAGAGACAAATTGAAGGAAGTGTTTAGCAACAAGGAACCAATATTTTATGATCTGTTAAATTATCAGCTTATCTTGATTGCAAAATATGCTAAAATTAGGAGCTACAGGAGAATGTGCTTTAGACTAGAAAGCCAAAGATGTGGTTCTACAACCTTTGTTAGTGCCTTAAAAGGATAAAAACTGCAGAGTACTCAAGAACAGAGAGGACTCCATCTCAGCAGAAACCAGGAAGAAAGAAAGGATTATTTAGGAAAGCTCTTTGGAGGAGCCTCTTGACTAATGGAGCAAATCTTTGTGATACACATGAGGGAGCCAAGAGATTCTTAAGCATGTTTCATCAGCAGGAACACTGCCAGCTTGAATTGAACGAGACACAGATAGGACAGAATGAAAGAAGGCTGTCAGACTCTCAAAATTATACAAGGAGGGAAAAGTCTAATAGAACCACTCAGCTGCAAGCACACCTACCTTTCAAGGAAAAAAGGGCAGACAGAGCTGCACTCCCAGATGGTGGAGGCAAGAGCCACACAGGATTATTCCAAGGTCTTGAAACTTAATGGAGTTTTATGTGTATTTCTACAAAGTTATATATCTAAATTTGCTTGGGACCAATAACTCCTTTTTGTTTTTCCTTTTGTTTCCTTTCTCCTTTTCTTTTTAAAAATAGGAATATCTATAACTTATATATCATTCCTGTCACACCATTCATTGTATTTCAAGTGTAGACAATTTGTTTTCTAGTTTCATCAGTCTACAGATGGGGTGAAATTTTGTCCTAGGATATATCATGCAAGATTCTCAACTATACCTGAATTACATGATTTAGATTATTATATTTGGTACTTTTGATCTGACAAAATTTAGATGAGACTTTGGACTTTAAGTTGGTGTTTTAATGGAATGAGGCTTTTATGAATGTTGAGATGGTTTTAATATATTTTGCATGTGGATAGGTGTAAATTCTTGGAGGTCAGTGGGTGGACAATACTAAACTGAGTAATGCTCACCCTCAAATAAGTACACATCTTAATATCTGGAGCCTGTGAATGTTACCTTAATGGGAAAAAATTTTGGGAAACGAGATTAAGTTAAAGATTTTATTATGAGAAGATTATCCTGGATTATCTAGGTGAGCCCAATGTAATCATAAGGATTCTTATAACAGGGATGTAGAAAGGTCAGGCAAAGAGAAGCAATGTGATGACAGAAGCAGAGATTGAAGTGATGTGGCACAAGCCAAGGAATGCTGGCAGCCTCTAGAAGCTGAAAAATACAAGGAATAGATTCCTTCCTGCGGCCTCTGAAAGAAATAAGTTAGCAGGTTGATTTCAGCCCCTAGAAATAGAAAACTAATACAATATGCTTTTTCTTGGTCCATAAATTCTTCAGAGAGTATTTTCATATATAAAACAAATAGGACATATAGCAGTTTCCAGTTGGAACAGCACTGTAAAACATTCAAGTACATACATTGCATTTATCCAGAAAATTTCTCAGATAAACAACACATGTTATGGAAAACAAATGCAGAATAATTCAGTTATACCTAGAAGCAAGTAAAAATTACTAAGATATGTATTTTTAAAGTTCATATCAAGTTTGTTACCCTCTGAACTTTCAATTGAGGTAATTACATATTTTCTTAATAATCTCTCATAGATGCAATGCTCTATATCTAATTTTCAGACCCTAAAATGTTTATTACTATTTTAAAATAAAGGTTCATAAAGCTCAAAAACTCATTATAACTCACTTTCATTGATAACATAAATATATGTCATGTGTCATATTGTACTGTGCTTATATATGAGGTATAAAGGAAGTAATAAAATATAAATGTTTGGCTCAGTACAATGTTAATAATTAATTATACATGTTGTAGACTATCCCTGTGTCCCCGAGATTGCTGTGTGTTATATAGGCATACTTTAGCTAGTTCTAACAATGGTTTATGATACATATTTTATTACAATTTTATTATTATTTTTTTTTGAGATGGAGTTTTGCTCTTGTTGCCCAGCTTGTAGTGCAATGTTGTGATCTCAGCTCACTACAACCTTCGCTTCCCAGGTTCAAGGGATTCTCCTGCCTCAGCCTCCTGAGTAGCTGGGATTACAGGCATGTACCACCACACCTGGCTAATTTTTTATTTTTAGTTGAGATGGGGTTTCTCCATGTTGGTCAGGCTGGTCTCGAATTCCTGACCTCAGATGACCCACCAGCCTCAGCCTCCCAAATGCTGGGATTATAGGTGAGAGCGACCACACCCTGCCTACAGTTGTTTTATAGGAAACTGTAGTAATATCTAATGGTCTTATAGATGACTATGGTAGTTGTCATCAGTGGGCTACTATCATCAAAGCTCACAGTTGGTCTATTATGCCGTATTGTTTCTTTCTGAATCTGGGGAGAAAAGAGCTTCTGCTATGCTTTCAGACAAATCATTCATATTTTCCCAATATAGACAATCTTATGGTTTGAATGTCTCCTTCACAACTTGTATTGAAACTTAATTCCCAATGTGGCATGATTAAGAGATGATGCCTTTAAGAGGTGATTGGATCATGAGAGCTCTGCCTTAATAAAAAGGTTAATCCATCGGTAGATAAAAGGATTAATGAGTTATCACAGGAGGAGAACGGGTGGCTTTATTGGAAGAGGAAGACAGACCTGAGCTGGCAATGTTATGCTCAGTCCCCAAGCCCTGTGATACTCTGAACTGTCTTAAGGCTCTTCGGAAAGTTTCCACCAGCAAGAAGGCTCTCACCTGCTGCAGCCCCTCAATGGGAGACTTCTCTAAAACTGCAATCAATAAATTATATTATTCCTAAATTATATGATTTCAGATATTCTGTTATAAGCAACAGAAAGACTAAGAAAGATAAAATGTGTAATCCTAAAAATATAAAAACCCACACTCCACCTTTGATTAAATGCAATAATAACTCCTAATGTTCATTTTGGGCAAATGGGTAAAAACACTCTACAAAACTCTGCCTTGCACTTTTGTGCTATTTTGTCATCATCAGAGATGCCACAGTTTGGACAACATGGTTCGCCAAATTGAAAACAAGCTAGATAAAATTAATAGGCTATTTACTCCTAATAAAAATCTGACTTTATAATCATTATCCAATTATATTTCATAAAAACTTTGAGACAAGGAAGCCAAACATTCTGACTTTAAAGATGAATGGTTTCAAATTTCTTATAAATTAATTATCTACATTCTTATTGAATTTGCTACATGGCCATGCTTTTATCTTATAGTTTGCACCAGAAAAGAAAATACTGAATTATTTTGACACCTAACTTTTCCCTAAGGAATTTCCTGGCTGAATCACAGATGTTATGAATACTCACTTCTGTTATCATTGTTGTCATTGTTTTCCCCTGGTCTTGGAAGTCACGTTAGCATGTATTGTACAAATAAAATTAATTTGTGCTAATCACCATTCTGGGTATTTGGCATATATCATTACTATTCCTCACAATATAATCGAAACAAGGAGGAATTCCCTTTTATAGATAAGGAAAATACAAAATGATTGGTAATTTATCCAAGGTAGACTAGCTAATAAGAAGCAGATTTAGGATTCTAATTCAGGTTACTCGGCCTCAAAACATTACCCTGTGTCCGCTAATGGCATGGCTACAGAAAACACAAACAAACTCCATTCTGCATATGTAGATAAGGAAGAAAACAATCTATACACATCAATTATAAACAGATACATAATTTATATCCTTTAGAGTGTAGCTATCACTTTGTAGCAAAAATGTATCACTATTGATTTATTGTGTTTTGTGTGTATAAGGGCAATTGTTTAGAGAAACAACTCATAATAAACAGTTCAAGATCTTTAAAAGCCAGATTTAATCTGAGATAATAGGCTATTTTCTTCTCTTTTATTAATGACTAATTAGTGATGGAATTTTTGTTTTTTTATCATAACTTAGAAAATTGACTAAAACACAAAAAGCATTGGCAACAAAAGCCAAAATAGACAAGTGGGACCTAATTAAACTCCAGAGCTTCTGTACAGCAAAAGAAACAATCATTAGAGTGAACTGGAAACCAACAGAATGAGAAAAAATTCTAGCAATCTACCCATCTGACAAAGGGCTAATATTCAGAATCTACAAAGAACTAAAACAGATTTACAAGAAAAAAAAACAAACAAACCCATCCAAAAGTGGGCAAAGGATATGAACAGACACTTTTCAAAAGAAGACACATATGAGGCCAACAAACATAGGAAAAAATGCTCATCATCACTGATTATTAGAGCAAAGCAAATCAAAACCACACTGAGATACCACCTCACGCCAGTTAGACTGACAATCATTAAAAAACCTGGAGACAACAGATGCTGGTGAGGATGTGGAGAAATAGGAACACTTTTACACTGTTGGTGGGAGAGTAAACTAGCTTAACCATTGTAGAAGACAGTGTGGCACTTCCTCAAGGACCTAGAAATAGAATTTCATTTGACCAAGCAATCCCATTACTGGGTATGTACCCAAAGGATTATAAATCATTCTACTAACAAGACATATGCACACTTATGTTCATAGCAGTGCTGTTTACAATAGCAAAGACCTGGAACCAACCCAAATGCCCATCGATGATAGACTGGACAAGGAAAATGTGGTACATATACACCATGGAATACTATGCAGCCATAAAAAATGATGAGTTCATGATGTCCTTTGTAGGGACCTGGATGAATCTGGACACAATCATTCTTAGCAAACTGACACAAGAACAGAAAATCAAACACTGCATGTTCTCACTCATAGGTGGGTGTTGAACAATAACACATGGACATAGGGAGGGGAGCATCACACACTGGAGTCTGTTAAGGGGGCTAAGGGAGGGACAGCGGGGGTGGGTAGGAAGGGTGGGGGGGGATAACATGGGAGAAATGCCAGATATAGGTGATGGCGAATGGAGGCAGCAAACCACATTGCCATGTATGTGCCTATGCAACAATCCTGCATGATCTGCACATGTACCCCAGAACTTAAAGTACAATAAAATAAAAAAAAAATTCCTTAATAAAGGTTTAATTTAGTACACATTTAAATTTTAAGCCAGCAGAGTTTTCTGCCTTACAAATATCTATTTTAGGATAGAATAAACACCAGTCAGCTGACTTATTTTTAAACAAGCTATGAAAATTTACAAAAATATTATTTCTTCTAGTATAAAAAAATTGAAATGTAAATTTTCTATAGGATTTCTGATAGCTACAATAAATATAAAATATGAGGATATTAAAAGCATTATCTACTCTTGTAAATACTTGGAAGATTTTAATTTTAAAAAGATTATGTGTCTTTCACAAGGCAAACATAGTAATGTAGAATAAAATATCTCATTATTATTTAGCTATATTCTTTCCTACTTTATAAGTTTGATTTATGCTTTTACAAGAATTGCTGTATCAATGAATTTCAATACATAGCTTGAAGGCATAAGTTGGACTTCCAACTGCTTTTTCAGTAATCTTCATCTTTCAAACACTTAGAACATAAATTAGGTTAAAATTATCTGGAATTTTATTGTGCTTTACAAGCATGCTGCTTCTTGGTATTCCAATTAATTATGTTCCTTAGAATTTTTAGTCCATGCTGTGGTACAGATGCCCATATGTTCAAGTTAATTGTAATTTTACAAGAGAAAATATACCAAATCCACAAAAGGAATTACATCTATGAATTTATAGATAGATAGATAGATAGATAGATAGATATAGATATAGATATATTTGACAATATAAACATATTTGTCATGGAGGATTCTTTCTTTCTCAAAATCAGTTTGTATTTCAGTTTTACAACCTGGTTCTTAGGGAAAATGATTAGGTACAATTGGAGTCAACTGCAAATAAACTAAGAAATACAAAGTTAGATAATAGTGGTATAGATTTGGGTAGCTGACATCAATAAGCAGGGATTTTGCTCTTATCTTTGCAAATCCCATAATTATTTTTGAGACTAAAACTGGCAATGTGATACCAATCTCTGGCATCCAAGTTTGTGTCAAAATGTGATACAAAATATTAATTTCTAAGAAAAGTTTTAGCCATCAATTAAGAATAAATAAACCCTTTGTGGCAGTTTGATTCTGAGTTAATTTGCATTCAGCTGGAGTCCATCATATAAAAAGGAAGGGTGTATTCTTGATTTCCTCACCTTTCAGGGAGTCTCCTCTCTATTACAGTGAGTTTTTTTAATGAGGCATATCATCAGGGCCACATGAGACTTACAGGGGGACAAAAGATACATTCTATGAGCAAATGTAATATAATTTAATTTCCTCTGGAGGAAGCCAACAATTTACTGATGTTCTGGCATTTCTAAGAATGGAGTACTAGACAGACTTAGAGAACTGACTTCTGAAATAAAAGACAGGAAAACTAATGGTCAAGAAAGAGAGTGAGTAAGTAATTACTGGGAGGACTTTGTTACTGTTGACTTTACCTAATAGATGGCCTCAGCAGGTTTTCATTAACCTGGTCCATTTATATTCATATTAGATGGCAGCTAAACAATACTAGGCAGCTAGGAAAGACTCCTCTATTTTGAGGAAGAAATGTATTTCTATAATGAATATTCAGTGCAGGAGCAAAAGGGAATTTGAAATATTGTTTTCTAGTGTTCCTCTGATTTAGGCCCAGAATTTATGATGCTGTGCTGTAGGCTGAACTGTCCCAGTGACCAGATGGAAACAGAATTTCTCTTCTGCTTCAGTAGAAGAAAAGGAAAATAAAGAAAAAAAAAAGTTGGCCAGGTAATCAGCCAACACACACACACACACACACACACACACACACACACACACACACACA